TGTACAATGACGAGTTAGTCGCTTTGTGAAAGTCTGTAAAATATTTAGGTATTTCTCAATATCTTAATAAAGACATGCCAATGCGGTATGATTGCAGGTTAAAAAAAAAAAAAAGTAATAAAAAATTTTTTAAATTAAATGAGAGAAATGAGAACCTTTGTCATATTTGTGCTTATCACTCTCAGTTGACACCTGTTGCATTCTACCTCTCATTCCTCACCAAAAAGACTGTGAACTGTTAATAACATTGTAATTAGTTTATTGTCTTGTCAAAAAATGGCTAATACCTTATTTACCACAACACCAAAATGAATATCCCAATCTAATTTAGTGTCTTTATCTATTTTTAATTCTTTGGGGAATCCCGATACCATTTTACAGACAGTTTCACAAGCACCAATGCCTATTTGCTAAAGATTTTAAAATAAGAGAGCATTGAAAAAATAGTTATCCATATAGACGTTGTATGAAAAGCAGTGATATGGAAGTTGAATGACAAGGTGGTGGACCAAACACCCGATTTGATTAAGACTATTTACTTTTGGCACATTACTTGGAGAGATATGTGACATTGGCAAAAAAGTGTATGTATATTCAGATTCATAAAGCGACAAGATCTTGAACCTTTCAGGAGTTGGTTTATTCTTTATTCTAACTGTATGGATGCTCCTTCCAGAAAATCGTACAATCATTTCATCTACTGAAACATTCGAGCTTGAGATGTAAAGCTATTTTGACACATCACGAATTTTTGAGAGTAACAGTTTTAATTTTTCGAAGTAATTGTTGATCGTAGCAGTGGGAGGTAAGACATGCAGATACCTTATAATTTGCTCAAAACGTTTTAGTGACATTTGTTTTAAAATAGCATGGATTGGAGGCTTTGTATCCTCATTTCAGTATTGATTTAGTAAAGGTAGTTTGAAAAGTCCCTAGTAGATAATCAATGCAATTCAAATAATTTATTCTTTATGACTTATGTTTTTCCACTACCTTCTAGCATCACAAGCATTTTTTTATAATGAATACAAATTTGTTCATAAAAAAAAAAAGAAAAAGATTGATTGGTTTTGAAAAATTTGCATCATAATGTGCCAGTAAATTAATAAATGCTTGATGCAGTGGTCTCAGGTGAACAAAATGTTCAAAAGTAGGAGGTGGTGTGAGTCATACTATTGCTCTGTATTTATTCCTAGAAGAACTTATAGTGTTTTCTGTGTCCTCAAGGTTAAGATCTAGTTCTGGGTCTAGTTCTAGATCATCTAAGAAATGTTGACGAGATGTCAAAGCAGAATATACTCATCATCATTGTCAGTATATGTTTCTGTATTTTTGAGAGAAGAGAAACTTAAAGTTGATGGGACTTTAGAGTTCATTAAAAGAATCGTGAAAAAGGAATCACTAGTCAATCAGCAAGGTAGTACACTCTCATATTTGATTAGTAAAAAGGGGGTTATGCTTAATGAAATTGTGAGTTATCACACAAAAGTCAATCAAAAATAATTTTAGCAGGCAAATTTGGCCACTAGATGGATTAAGGAATATTTAAAAAATTTTTTTTTTGAGTACCTATAGCCAGGCTAAATTATTGATTTATTTATCAATTAAAAATATAAGTACATTTTCATTAGAATAGTATAATAAATAACTTCAGATAAACTATTATTCTAATCTTACTAACTTGTTATAAGCATAGAAGCCTCTAAGTTTAACCTTGAAAACAATATTTTACTTTGGATAAAAAAATCTTACTAGTCTACTACATCATTGTTAGCAGGTTGTCACTATCATATGTTTAACTAAGCCATTAGGATACAAAAAAATACAAAAGAATGGGTTGAAAGAAAAGGGAAAGAGGGATATCTAAAAATGTTTAAATAGATAACAAGAAAATAAAAAGATAATTGAAAAAAAATTTTTTTCCAGTTTTTTCTAAAGATCTATTTCTTAAGACCTTATATTAATAAAAAATATCCAATTGAGATATTTTTCTTTTTTTAATCATTTGAGAAACTTATCCATTCTTGATCTTGATTTTCTTCTTATGTATTATCAGAAAAGATTTATCATCTAGTAAGAGCCTTTACTTTCAGGATACACTTGATTCCAACCTTCTTTATGCAATGATTTTTTATCTACTTGCAATAAAGAAGTGACTTATAATAGATCACAAATTCTTATGCGACCTAGTAGGAACTGAGTTATATTATTTCAGTATGATATCTTTTAGCAACCATATCTAGTTAAAGAAATTTTACTAGTATATATCTTCTATTACTCAAAAGATCAACTTCCCCAATAATTCTTTTATCTTGTAATAGTAGAAGGGTTTTTAAAGTGATAGAGATTCTTGTTGATTGTAATATTCTTCAACAACTTTTGGGAAAATACATTCTCAACTATAATCAAAGGGTTGGGGCTTAGTATGAACTAGAGACTATTCAATCTTATTGTCTAACTGGAATAAAAGGGAGATTTTGGTCTTGAACTTTACCTAACCGGAATAATAAAAAAGAAAGACTTCAGCTTGAACAAATAGTAGCTTTTTTACTATTTGAGGACCTATTGCTTATATCTTATTGGCTTTATAGAACTTAGTCTATAGGTTAATCCAATTGAAAAAGTGGAGCAGACACAAGGTATCAATCAACTCTTTCAGTCACCAATGACATTATCAGAATATGAAAGGTGATCAGTAAAGACTTGTTTATATTCAACTAATTACATGTTTTGTATTTATCAATCATATTTTGCAATAGATTGTGTTACCTAAAATTCAGAATCAAACTGAGGTAGACAAAATTCTTCAGAAAACCAAAAAAATTTGATCAACTATAAGAGAGAAAAAACAGTAGACAGACACTTTGAAAATATGACTTGATGTTTGTTATCTCCCACTGCACAAAATTTCTATAAATATGCTTCAATATAAAAGGTTTTGAGTACTGCACAATTAGTTCTTCTTCCTTGTAGAACTTTTTTGTCATAGGTAAAGAAGGTGTTTCTTGACTTTTCTAGGTTACAAAAAGACATGTTTTTGTTTAAAGATAAATATAAATAAGAAAGGGGTTTAGAAGTATCTTTTGAAATAAAACTTCAAATTGATTTAGAATAGTTTTAAAACTTTATTAATAAAGAAATAAAAAATTTTTTGTAAACATCTTTTTTGTATATAGGCAGAGGATCAGTGAAAAGAGTTAATACATTATTATAAAAATTATATTTAATATAAAATAAAAAAATTTTTTTTCTTTCCACTAATCCTCTAACCATACACAAAAAAGATGCTTGCAAGAAGTTTTATACTTCCTTGATAATAAAGTCTTTATACTTTCATTAAAATAACTTGAAACTTGTCTTCATGTATTTCTTTTACCTTCTCTTACTTGTTTATAAACTCATTTGAATAAAAACTTGGATCTCTAGTGACCTGAAAAGATCCAAGTATGTACTTCCTCTACTAAGAGCAAGAAAGTTCTAGAAAATAAAAGAACTGACAAGTGGAGTGTCATCTTAAAGAGCTGAAGTAACAGAAATAGAGGTTTTGTCAGCAGGATAAAGCTTATTATTCACCTTCTCAAGCTTTTCTATCTCTCTTAAAGTGTTTACTGTTTTTTACTGTTTTTCTTGGAGGATTTTGCCTACCTCAGTTTGATCTTGAATTTCTGGTAGCACAAGGTCACCAGGCTTTGGATTGACTGACACAAAACACATTAATAATTGAATATAAACAAGCTCCTACTGATTACCCTACATGTTCCAATGATGTCATTGGTGATTGAAAGAGTTGATTGGTGCTCTGTGTCTGCCCCACTTCTCCAATTGTATTAATCTATAGATCAAGTTCCATGAGGCCAATAAGATATGAGCAACAAGTTTCCAGATAATGAAAAAGCTACTATCTATTCAAGCTGAGGTCTTTCTCTTCTATTATTCTGATCAGGCAAAATTCAAGATCAAGGTCTCCTTTTTATCCCAGTCAGGCAATAAGATCAAATAGTCTCTAGTTTATACTAAGCTCCAACCCTTTCGTTATAGTTGAGAATGCATTTTTCCAGAAGTTGTTGAAGGATATCACAATTGATGAGAATCTCTACTGCTCTTTTGGTACCTTTCCACCATTGTGAAGCAAAAAGATCTTTGGGAAATAACTATTTTGGGCAATAGAAGATATACACCAATAAAATTCCTTTAACTAGGTATGGCTGCTAAAAGATATTATACTGATCCAGTTTCTACTAGGTTACATAAGAACCTAGGATCTATCATAAGTTGTCTTTTCATCACAGGTGAATAAAAAATCACTGCCCTAAGAAGGTTGGAACCAAGTGTGTCCTGAAAATAAAGGCTCCTACTAGGCAAGAAAGAAATCAAAATCAAGAATGGATAAGTTTTCAGATAGTCAAGAAAAGAAAAAATATCTCAATTAGATATTTCTTATTGAGAAGAGATATTGAGAAGCAGGTCTTTGAAGAAAACTGAAAATATTTTTTTTTTCAATTTTTATCTTTTCATTTTCTTATAGTTTACTTAGACTTTTTTAGATATCACCACTCTTTTTTTCAACTCATTTTTTTATAGTTTTCTATATTCCAGTAGCTTAGATTAATATATAACAGTGACAACCTACTGGCAATAATGCAATGGGCTAGGAGAATCTTTATCCAAAGACATTGCAGAGCAAAATATTATTCTCAAGGTCAAACTTAGAGGCTATTATTCTTATGATGAGTTTGTTAGATTATAATAATAGTTTAGCTATAATATATATCATGCTGCTCAAATGAAAATGTACTTATATTTTCAATTGATTAATAAACTGACAATCTAGCCTGGCTACAAGTATACAAAAAAAAAATAAAGTCTTAATTAAAAATAATTAAATTATATTATAAAGTAAATAAAATATTCTTATATTATTAAATTTAGATAATACCATCTTTCAATAATATTTAATTTAAAAATAATATATTGTATATAATCTAAAAATATTACTATTATACTATATATCTATAGATTTTATTAAAATTATTTTTCAAATTAATTTATTTATTCTAATATAAAGTTTAAAATACAACTTTGAAAATAATTTATTATCCTATAAATAATTTAAATAAAAAAAATTTTTTTTAAACACTAGCTCATTCTTGTATTAGGATAAATAAGTTTTATTTAAGTAAGTAGAAAATCTAGAAACAACTGGGATAAATAACTATCCATATTGTCTAAGAATTTATAGATTAATGAATAGTACAAAGAGCTATCTATTTACATCTCACCCAACCAGGATAAGATAGTCACATGACCATCTAGTATAGATAATCTTCTTACAAAAACAAATCATAAGAAAAAAAAGAGGTATGAAATTCATACTATATTAATTTTCTATTTTGCACTCTGACACTCCCTAGAGCATGACTTTCACTGATTTACTGAGTGGCTTATTGCTACCCCAGAGATACCCAATACCACTGACATTGAGAACTTCTTATGTGGACCTTAACTTCACTAATGCTTAAATAAAAGTTTTGAAGAAATAGTTGCGTTCGAATCAAATTATTTCCAGAGGGATGGTGTTGTTTTGCTGTTTTGAGATTGGTTCCATTGAATAGGTGGGAGTATCAAAACTCTCCAAAAGATATTGGTTCTATAGGAGATAGTTGTGTTCGCTGAAGAATAAATAATCTACTCCAATCATGTTCTTTCTGTATAACCTTTAATATTATAAATTATATATTTTATCCAAACACGTAAGGTAACCAATAGAAGCTTGTTTATTCTTTTACTAATGTGATCCATCTATCCAATCACAATGTGAGAAACTTTGTGCTACTCAAAATTTAAGATCAAACTGAGGTAAGCAAAATTCCTCAGAAAAAATCAAGAATGAGTACTATAAGAAGGTTACAAAATGACAAGAGGGTGGGAAAGCTGTCTCTCATCACATATACACTTCTGTAGTATTTCTCTACAGTATAAGGTGATAGTACCATTAGTTTTTCTTCCTTTCAAAACTTTCTTGTCATAGGTAGGAAAGATATTTCTTGATCTTTTCTGGTCACTAGAGATTAGGTTTTTGTTTGAAGAGAATAGTAAGCAAGAGGAGGGGAAGTAGTTGATAGCTCTTGAAGCTTCTTCAAGTTGGTTTAAGGAAAGTAATAAGACTTTATTAGTATAAAAGTAAAAGAACTTCTTGTGAATATCTGTTTTGTATATAGTCAGAGGATCAACGGAAAGAGTTATAAATAATTTAAATAAATACTTTTTCAATTATTAATATTAATAATATATATATATATATTTTTATATTCTTGATTAGGATGCTATTTAATAATATCCTGTTTTTAAACCAGCAATGCTTGTTTGAAAATCTATCCATTTTTGAACAAGCATCACCGGTTTGAAAACAGGATGTCATTAAATAGCATCCTAATCAAGGACATGAAAGACCGTGCATTCATTGATACTTTCTGCACAGTTAATCCACAAAGGAGTGAATTTACATGGGAAATGGATGCATTTACAGCAAGCAGAATTGACCAGATTTGG